AGACGGTCTTTCGCAAGAGACTGGGTGAGGAATGGTTGGACTGTGCTACGCTGGACGGACTTATTATTAGACGTGGGTGTACGGTACCCGTACTTGGTCTGCGATCACGTACAACAAAGCTAGGTTCGTTGATTCTGTGGAATTTTTGCTACATTCGTTCTCAAATCTATTAAGTCGCTTTCCAGTAAACCTCAGCAGCTAATATCAACGTTTTATTCCTTTGAGACTGTCCAGTTTGCCAGTTGCTTTGACTAACTTCGAGATTTTAGTCAAGGTTTCTTTTGCTCGCCTGAATTGGAAAAAGTTGAGATTCCCAGAAACACAAGATTTTGGGTTTGAATCGCTTCTATCTGCAATAATATATCTCAATTTATGCTGAACTTTTTGTTATAGAAGGTTCGAACAACAGATTCCTGGGCTAGTGAGAGTACAACCAGTCAGCAGTACAATGCCACTTCCTTTTTTGGGGTCTCTTATCCTGACAGGCTTACAAACTGAGAATGGCGCTCGAATGTTACCATTATGAAGTAGGAGTAGTGGCAACACTTTCTTAAAGGCACGCCACGCGTTTATCTGATGTTTAGGCGCATTATTTGCATTGATAGCCCTCCGCTAGGATGAAGAATATACCATTGCGGATCAAAAATGCGTGAGGAAGGCGCGGCCCGCTCGCAATTCAGCCATGTCTCCGCCCAATGGCAATGAAAACGCCCAAGTTTCGTTTTTAACTGGTACCTAATGGTGCGGTTGTTCCGCTACTAACTCTCTCCATTCCGAATGGTCTGAGCGAGGTGTTAAGGAAAAGCGCACACCAACAGGTGAGAACTCGTCCTACCACGCCCCTTATTTGTCTTACGAATGTATAAGTATGGAGCTCTATATAGTGCACTTCCGGCGAGTTTTTTTTTGCTTTTTATTCCACTGCTGGAACACTTACTATCTTGTCATTAGATTTTGAGCCGCAGCACATCTCCTAATTTTTGGACCCAGGGTGTGCCTTCAAGTAAGATCTGTTCAGAAGTCATTCACTTACTCGTCATTTTCAAGTTATCGCGCCAAAAATATTAAGTTTCATTCAGCGTTTTCGTGAATTTTCAGATGTCGTTGAGTGCATCACGACTTGTTCAAGCAGCATGTGGTAGTCGTGTTGTTGTTCGGACAATGTACCGTAACCCCTATATTTCTCGATTCAAGGACAGAAGTAAAGTCTCACCGAATTTCTACAAGAAGGTCTGTCTTTATTTTCTTGTGATTACCGCGCAACATCAATTCCTTCAAACTATGTTTGCGTTCTTCTAATGGTGAATCTTGGCTTTTTCAATTTAATGAGTATGCCATGTTAAATTGGTTTCTTCCTTTTTCTGTGCTTTTGTTGTAAGGCTTTAATGCTGTGTTCATAGCTTGCGCAACTGAAGAACCGGGAAATCCGCAGAAAGGGATGGATATGAACGTTCGGTGGCAGGGGCATTTTGCACTCCTGCTTCCTTTCGTTGCTTTTTAAGAGTTGACAGTATTCTCTACGAGAGTTGTCAAGTAGTCTCTACAAACTTTGACTGGTATCACTTCATGGCTTCACAAATCTCACCTTTTGCCTCGACGCGTCATTAAAAGTAGCGAAAGTGCAAAGTGTCCCAACCCCTTTGCCGAGAGCGCGAAACGGTATTCCTGGCTAGTTGTCTCGACATAGGAAATTGTCAAGGCGATTTGGCCGCTGTGACGTGTGTTATCCATGTTTTATTTTACAGCCTTAACTCAGACAATTCGACGTCGGTGGATTCATTATTTACGGTTTCAGTTACAAAATGACACTTGTTCTTCCCATGGACTTCAAAGTCAGATCAAGAAAGATCCCGATTCCCTGCTTTTTTGAGATAGAAATGTGGAGGGACCGCTTTCGTACCTTGGAAACTGGGAAATAGTCGAATTTGAAGAATCGGCACAAGGCGGAATCGGGAGAGTAGAAAGAACCGCGAAAAAGTATGTATACGAGATATAGATCTACTTCCTCACGGTCGTCAGTTCATCAATTCTCCTGATTTCACCGTTCTAAGAATTCAACATTTGCAAGGTATGAACACGGCTGAATGAAAGTAAGTGGTTGCCACGAACTAAGTGCTTTGATGTCAAGGTGCTACCACGAGTGAATTAACTAGAAATACAAGTTAGTTCTTGCGCGATATCGCGCCTAGAAGGTGAAGAACTGTCCTGAAAAAGATCCCTGCTGTTATCGTGCACAGTCCAGCATATCCGAGTTGCAGGGAGGGCAGCGGACGGGTGGTGTCGCTACGTTCACAACGGGATTGTGGTGCAGTGTGTCAGGTCGTCTAGCAGAGATATACCAGGTTTATTTGCCACCCGTGCGTCGGCGTTGTGAAGCTATGTGCCCTCTATAAACTGAATCCGTACCTGTTTTTCTTCATGGGCTTTTCTTTTCAGAAGTTGTTAGGGTATGAACCCGCTCGTTACTACTCCGCTTTATGTCCTGAACCATACACTTTTGGGGCTGCTTTGCTGTATGTGGAATGTGCTATTTGCCGATCTGTACCACGATTTATCCAAACTACTCGTTCGGAAATGTACAGCCTTGTTGGTCGAAGGCGCTGGGGCGTTTTTGGAGGCCTGAGTTTGGCGCGGGGGGGGGTCGTACTTTTCCGCTGGAGAGGGGGAATCGTATGTGGCTCTGAGAGAAGTTTCCGAAAAAGAAATTTTTCACCTGTTCAGAGGATATTGAATTTTCGCGCGGGGTGTTTTCACTGTTTATTAATAAGTTCTATATACCCACCTCCTCCCGCCTTGACAATGAAATTTTTGGGGTGAAAATTGAACTAATGGGAAATTTGAAAGGTTAGGTAAGTTGGTTGGAGAAGAAGCGGGAGGGGTCGTAGCCAAAAACTCTCATTTAGATGGAGGGTAGGGAGCGTGGGTCATACTGCAACCCTCCTGCTCAGGTGGAAGGGAGGGTCGTATGCTACACCACCATTTTCAAGCATCACACCATAACGATGCTGCAAATTGTGGAGAGGCAGGTTGGTTTGCCGCGCAGACACGGTCCCTGCTGAAATGCGCGCGCTAGCCGCCGCTTCCGAAACGACACTGTATCAGAGGGCTCGCAAGCTGACTAAGTTGGAGTCCGTGTTCTTAAAATATTCAGGTTCATCAAGTTTGCCTTCCTGATCATTTTTCAAAAAATTGCCAAACTTTAGTAATTCATATACAGTACGCGCCCTTCGTTTGCAGGGTATTGTTGCTGTTTTCTGGGTAATAGTACCATGGGGGGGATCCACTCGCTAGTTTGCAGTGACGCCGTTTCTGAACTCAACAACTGCTTTTCCGATCTTTCTTTTCCATATTCTAGTATTTTAATCGGTTTTCAAAACCTTTTTTTTTGAATATGGATTTGTTCGAAGCGAAGAGCGGCAGTTCTACCCGCCGGGGCGCTCACAACTTCACCGAAACGAGGTTACAGGATAATAATAAATTTCAGATCCATTTTCTGCAGGAATTCACATGAAGGGTGCAGCATCGTGATGGGTGAAATGGTGGTGCAGGTACGACTCTCCCGTCGACGAGAGAGGGTGTCAGTACGACCACTCCCCAACACCTAACCTACCTGCCTACCAATTTCCCACAGTTTCCACTTTTTCACTCAAAAATTTTCTGTCGTGGGGTATATAGTTCCATGAAACAGGAAAACGCGAAAACTCAACAACCGGGAAAAAATTTTTCCAGCAAGGCAAATTCCTCTCAAAGCTTCATACAAAACTAAATAAAACCCCCTCTCAGCGGAAAAGTACGACCCCCTTGTGTTTCACAAAACGATGGTTTACCCTGTTCACATATTGATGTGAGCTATGCTTTTCAGACAACCGGCCTCACCGGACTTTTCGTGAATGAACATCCTCATCGTACTCTCAATGTGATATATTGCCGAATCCTGAAGGCCTTGGAACAGATCCCAGCTTCGTCTGCTTATAGGAAATACACGGAAGCGGTAAGCAGTTATCTTTTATGCGTTTTTCGCTCGTTGGTTTGAAAAAAAAACTTGAATGGGCCATTCAGATAGTGAAGCAACGTCTTGCACTAGTTCAGTCCGAGGATAGCATTCCAGCTTTAGAGGAGAAGATAGGAATGGGTCAAATTGAGGAAGTCATTGAGCAGGTAATGTCCGTGAAGCGTCATATGGTGCAAGTCCTTGGAGGATGGAGCTCCCGAGTGGATGAACCAATTTCTTTTTGCGAAAAAAAGTTTCCGGGTTTTCCACTACGTAAACGTCCCATATGCTCAAGGAGCCAAGAGAGATTTTGCAATCTGTGAACCGCGCTGCTACCGTAACGCAGGCCGTTGTAAGAGCCCTCTGGGCTCAGGTAGCACATGTGGGCACTGTCGGAGGCGGTACAAATGGCAAGTAAGAGTGCCTCGAATTCTGGAAGGTAAAAAGCGTGCGGACTACGGTAGCAGCGACTCCTTGGACTGCAAAATCCTTCTTACCTAGCGGAGTCCTCTTAAAGCTATCCGATCGCGCAATCGAGTCGAGCGGTCGCGAAGTATAAACGCGCTCTTAGGCGCCCTTTGGCGGACTTGCTCCCAAGTTTTACTTGCTGTCCCACAGCGTCTTTGCCTGTGACATTCTCCCTTTCTATCTCCTTTTGATGATTGCCACCCTCCTGATTTCAGGCTGAATACGAGCTAGAAGCCGCAAGAGCCATTATAGAATCGAAAGCATGGGAACCTCTTGTCGAAGCTCCACCGAAGGGCCAGTGGGATTGGCCAATCGCGTAAGCAAGTCTCGATTGATGTTGAAGGAGTTGAAAACGA